AAATAGCGGCAAATCAGCTGCACTTGATAGTAGTTGGTTGAATAAGGCAAATGAATTAGCAACAAGAGTTTACGGGATGTACATAGCTCATTGGTTAACGCTTCTGACTTTGAACATCGAATACGCAGGTTCGATCCCTGCTGAAGTCTAGAAAAAAGAAGTCTGATGAGGAGATGTGGTGATCTCCGAAATAGTGCTATAACTTCTACCGCTTAGAATTTGTTGCTTTTTCAATTTTTCCTAATAAACAATCGTGGTACAAAGCTCAATAAAAATATTAAAAATAAAATGTTAACAAGCTACAATAACATTGACAAATAAAATAAGTTAAGCTTTCGTTAAAGTTACTAAAAACCAAATAGTGAAAGTGAATAACTCTAATGAAAATTATTAACAATTTGTACTGATTTACTTCGTTTTTAAAAAAGTTTGTCGCGCGAATAGCGAGCTGGCGTTTAAATATTTGCATACATACATATACCTAACCAATTACGCATACACGCTGAATATTTTTTTTACATTATTCAATTTTGAACTTTTTACTTTTATTTTATATAGCCCGGACATAATATTTTTATTTTGGGCTGACTCTCCATTTATGAGCATAGTACATTTAATATAAGCGGCGTAAGTCTTTTCGATCATTTGTGTGGGCTGAGCAAACCATTAAAAAAAACTATTCTAATAGCTCAGTTATGCATACTTTGCACTACTTTACAATGCTATGCCATTTTTACGTAGGAATCAAAAACCAATAGACTTCTACATATGTAATGCTGTGCGTTAGGTAACCGCTTACACGCAAAGCTCATTTAACAGATTCCTTATGTGACAAACCTCATGCAACGCCAAGTATTAGAGCTCTTGTTAACAGTCGATTATCCGGTTAACCGATTATTCGAGTAGTCGAGTAGCAACTTTTGCATTGACTGAAAATCGAATAGCAAGTATTCGATCGTTTCATCAACTTCGACTAGTCATGCAACTGATTAATTGTCATTATTCGAATAGTGAAAGTTGTTTAAATAAAATTTTTTTCTCACTTCAAAACAAAAAATTTGCTTCATCCAAAATGAGTTTACGTAAGCGTAGCTGGGAGTGGAACTTCTTTTCTAATTCCGAAGGTGGAAAAGAAGTCAAGTGTTCAATATGTGGACAAAATATGGCCTATAATAATTCGACGTCGTCTTTGGCAACCCATTTGAAGGCCATTCATAAGAGGAACAAGGAGCAGGACCTGGAAATGTATGTTCATGTTAACGAACTAATAAGTGGTAATTTTCCATAGTTTATCCTCCCCAGGACCACAGATGTAGCCAATAGTGAATGCGCCGAACCAAGCCCGGCAAAAAATGTCAAGCGTAGAAGAAAAAACGAAGCTGGCGAAACTATTTCAAACGAGCGCCAAGAGACCATTTCTCGTGCAATAGCACGATTAATTGCAACAAATATGTTACCCATTTCTCTTGTTGTAACCCTGGATTCCATGAGTTTCTAAAGGTGATGGATGCACCTTGAATTTTGCATATTTTGCTATAAGTCACGTATTCATCTCCATCATAATTCATGCACACCATTTTGGGTACTATAAATATTCAAAGCCTATCAACCGCAAAACTTATGAAATATTGAAAGAAAACAACTATTCGAATAGTCGAATCTGTCAAGTAATCGAATGAAAACAACTAGTCGATTATGAACGGTTAGTCGAAAGTGAACGGTTAATCGATTAATGGTATTCGGTTATTTTTTGAAACAACTTTTTCCATTCGATTAACCGATTAATCATCCATGGCACACGACTATGCAGCATTATCCACATCGCCTTAACAGTATTCAGAAGAAGAACTTCGTACTAACTGAATTTCTTTCGCCTATGGGATAGCAGAAGTATGTACACTTTTAAAATGCATGCATGTGCATTATGCATGCCTTTTATCGCATCTCTGTATTTCACTAATGCCATGTAACTAAACGTTGCCATGTAAATATTGCAAGATGTCAACTAAGATGACGGCAATACACACCGTAATGTAATTTGACGGCACCGTAATATTTCTGACGGCAACAGTGACGGTGTATAACTATTTATCAACGTTTTGTGGCAACGTCATATTTGTAGCGGTGTATTAGAAAATTTGTTTACAATTCTTTTGACCAATATAAAAGCATTAAATATACATTTCTATGAATTTTGAATAATAAAGTGGAAAGTGCATGGATGGCCGAAGAGGATGAAGTCCTAATAAACTTTGTGAAAAGCAATGAATGCCTATACAACATAAAAGCGCAAAGTTACGTCCATTTAGCTTTACATAAAAGCGGTACCGCTATTTGCGTTAAGAATGGCGTTCGGTATGATACGGTCGGAATATTACGGCACCACTTTTCGAGGAAACCGAAGCTTAACACCCTGTTTGAGGAAACCAAATAATGTTATTCTTAACAGAAGTGCCTAAAATTGAACAGTTTGGCAATGTTAAACACTGTTTAAGCTAATTTCTCTTATTAGCGCCTGAAACTATACTTATTATTTACTACTGCCGACAGCTTTAACAAATTTATAGCGTTTTTACGTTCTTTAACAAATTACGCTTTGTTAGCCATAACTTGTGTTTTGATCGCCTTTGTATCAAGACCCCTGGACCATCTAGGGAATGAATTCATATTTTAAATTGCATTTTCATCGTGATTAGAACTATGCTGGAAATCTCAAGTATCTAGTTCGTCGGGAAGTTAATTTAAAATCGATGGGAAATTCCCGCAGGATGAGCAAGTTGAATAAAAGCTTGTAAAAATATTCCGACGAATTGACAGCCTCCTTTTTTTTAAGTCGGTTAAAAAGTAATATACCTAATTTAAATTTCGTGTCCCTGTAGCAAATATCTTCGCTAATAATAAGTCAACTACGTAATTAATTGCTTCCAATTAATCTTTATTCAAAACAAAAAAGCAAAGACGACAGTGCGTTTTTTTACAGCGAACAACAGCACCAAAAGCAAAAGTCAAAAGCTAGAGAGTACAAAAAGGAGAGTGAAGAACCATAAGAGTTGCAATTTGAAGGAGTTAGTGGAAACATTCCGCCCATCTCGTCGACAACCTCGACGAAATTAATGTTGTACTCCGCCCACCTTGTAAAATGTTGCATGACTAATTGTAGTCTCCATGCGATTGAGGCCATTCGTTGCTTCAGTGTCAATAGGCAGCAGGGATATCTTAGAAATGGGTCTTTTTAGAATAGTATTCTTGGTCTTTATTGTAACGACTCGAACTACATCATCAGCCCCGGCATGTGTGTCGATTATGCGTCCCATAACCCAGCACCTTGGTGGCAGCCGTTCGTCGCGAACTAAGACAAGCTGGCCAATAGCCACATTCGTTTGCGACATATACCACTTACTACGATTCTGAAGTTGTTGTAAGTAGTCGATAGACCATCTACGCCAGAAGCTCTGATGCATTTGTGTCAATAAATTCCATCGTTTTACTGGAGTTACCTTTTCATCAAGGATACTTGGCTCCGAGATTGCAAGTAAGGGTCTGCCAACTAAAAAATGACCCGTTGTTAGTGCCGAGAAGTCCTGCGGATCATCAGACATTGCAGAAAGTGGCCGAGAGTTTAAGCTTGCCTCTACCTGTTTCAAAATTGTGTACAATTCTTCAAATGTTAATGTGGTGTCATGGGTTACACGCTTGAGCTGGTACTTCATACTCTTCACTCCGGCCTCCCACAAGCCACCAAAGTTAGGCGCGCTAGTAGGTATAAAGTGCCCATTGATACCTATTGTAGATGCATTAGTAGCGGCTGTCTGCAGTTGTGCCTTTAGTGCGCGTGCTTCTTCTGTCATCCATTCGTTAGCTCCGCCAAAGTTGTACCATGGTCGCTATAAATGTCCGAACGGAGCCCACGCATGGACACAAATTGAGTCAGAGCTGCAAGGAAGGATTCGGTTGTCATATCGCTAACAAGCTCGATATGAATGGCTCGTGTAGCAAAGCACACGAATAGTGTTTAGGCCAGCGGCCTAAATTTGCTACACATTTTTCGACCCACTTTAGTGTATAACATAACTTAATTATTATGGTTGCTGTCGAGCTGTTAACTACTCTGTTAAATCTGCAATAATCAAACTTTCTTCAAATAAACAGTTCGACAAGCAACCGTAACTAAAATCAAGAACGGTTTACTTACTTCTTTTGCGAGTATCCGAAGAAGAGGACGTCATCCAGCCACCAAGCTCAGCTTTTGTATTTCAAGGTAATCTGCAATTGAAATATATGTACATATATATATATATATATATATATATACACAAATTACTTAAGTGAATAAACACTATTATTTTTAGTTATACTAATACCAAGATTTTAATTTCTTTTCATTAAATTAATCATCGGTGCGAACGTGCATCCAAATCTTGCTCAAGCGTTGCGCCGATGAATAAATAGAGCTACATAGCCTTTGTAATTCCGATGCCCGCGGCCTTTTGTTGTTCGTATGTTAAACTGGCCTGCGTAATCGACTCCGGGGTGCATAAATGGGTGTGAAGCATTGCAGCGTGGTGCAGGTAAGTCGCCCGTAGATCGTGTAGTGTCGCTTGAGTACATCCATGGAGGGCGCATTGGTGCGCTTGTCTAATTATTAACAAAGTGAAGTGGTTGTCTTTTGGTAGGATAGCAGGATAGCGTTCATAATAAGCAATGGTTGCATTGGTAAGGCGACCACCAACGCGTAAAATTCCATTGCTATCAAGCCATGGGCGGAGTTTCAGCAACTTACTCGTTCTGTGTATCGTCTTCTCTGTGGTGAGCATAGCTATATCCTCCTTAAACGCAACGTTTTGAACGAGTTTTGTCCAAAAAATTAAAGCGGCTTCTCTTTCTCGCCACAAACACAGCGGGTCGGACGCTTGTTTCCTTTTCTGCAGGATCAGTTGACACCACGCAGTGACGACAAGAAGTTTATCCAGACACGAATAATTTTCAAGAATAAACCAGTCTGTTGGTGCGACTTGGGCGACTGCAGTTTGCTTTGACTTGGATTCGGCAAGTGCTGCCGGAAATTTCAACGTTGTTTCCGGCCATTTTTTTTAGGAGTGTGACAACCATTCAGGTCCGTGCCACCACAAACAATGACTTAACAGTTGGATTGGGTTAAGTCCTCTTGAGGCGCAATCGGCTGGATTATCTGTTGATCGAACGTAATTCCAGTCGCTTTCAGCTGTTAAATTTTGAACTTCATGGACCTGATTTGCAACGAAGTCTTTTAGATTACCAGGGTCTGATCTTATCCACCAAACTACTGTAGTGGAGTCTGACCACATATAGGTAGGCACGGAGGCTAATTTCATGGAGCTTTGAACTTTTCTTAGTAGTCGCGCGCTAGTCGTAGCACATAACTCGAGTCTAGGAACTGCTACCTTCTTAAGTGGTGCAACTCGTGTTTTAGACATAAGAAGATGTATACGTACGGAAGCTTTTGTGACCACTTTCAAATATATTATAGCGGCGTAAGCATGTGTAGACGCGTCAGCAAACGTATGCAATTCGTATGACTCATCTTGATCGCCTATGTGAAGCCAGCAAGGAATCCGTGTGGCTGTTATACCTTTAAGCTCGTTTCGGTACTGCACCCATTCTTTTTGTAATGCCTCCGGCAGGATATCGTTGCAGTCTATGCCAGTAAGCTAAAGTTTTTGAATAAATATCTTGCCTCGCACGATGATTGGAGCGAGGAGTCCAAGAGGGTCGAATAACTTAGCGATGTCCGATAAAAACTGTCGTTTTGTAAACCTTTGCACCGAGTAGTCAAGTTTTACTTTATATGTTAGACAATCTTGCTTAGTGACCCATACTAGACCAAGAGTATGGAATTTTCCCTCTAGTTGAAATTCATGTGACGGTTTAACTTCCAGATGGTCCGAATCGATGGTTTTCAGGACTTCGCTGGAATTGGAATTCCACTTACGTAGGGAAAAACCGCCTGCTTGAAGAAGTTTTTGTAATACGACACGACGTCGGCAAGTTTCGACGACACTATCGCCCCCTGTCAAAACATCATCGACGTAAAATTTGTTCAGCAGAATTTGAGTTACTTCTGGAAAATTGTGCTGCTCATCTGCAGCTAACGTTTGTAGAACCTTCATCGCTAAATATGGTGCACAATTCATGCCATATGTTACGGTTTTATGGCGGAAATGAGACAGCTTTTCCTGAGAATCAGAATGCCAAACTATTCGCTTAAGATCTAAATCTTGTTCGTCCACGAGAATCTGGCGGTACATCTTGGCGATGTCGGCTGTTACTGCAATTCGATACCTTCGCCAATTCAGAACCACCGACGTTAAGTCATTCTGCAATTTAGGTCCAGAGAATAAACAATCGTTCAGAGACTTACCGCTACAGCACCTCTTTGATGCATTGAAAACTACACGGAGTTTTGTTGCAGTACTAGATTCCTTCCAGACCCCATGATGAGGGAGGTAGCAGGCCGGAGAAATAGTAATGGCGTTGTCGTTAATGAGTTCCATATGTTGAAGCGACAAGTAGTCGTTCATGAACTCCTCATACATAGAGCCCATGACTGAATCTCGTGACAACCGACGTCGCAAATGTTGGAGTAGCTTAACGGCATCATACTTCGTGGAAGTGAGCTGTGAGATGTCGGCATCTGGTTTCATCGGTAAGCGTACGACATAACGCCCTTCTTTCGTGCGACAAGTTGTACTTTGAAAAAAGTCTTCTACATATTTTTCATCCCGTGTTAAGGTATGTTCACGGATCTCTTCTAGCTCCCAAAAGCGTCTTAGTAATCGATCCGTATACACTTGAGTGTGGTAACATTCTATTATGTTATTTGCAGCGTCAAGTGAGCGGTTACAACTACCTCCGAACACTACCCAACCAAGTTGCGTGTTTTGGGCAACTAAGTTACTAATAGGGCTACGCGTGAGACCGTTTAAAAGCACTGCTGCGTAATCTTGAGCACTAAGTATGATGTCGATCACTTGAGGCACGTTAAATTGTGGATCGGCAAGATCTAAATTCCAAAACTGTGCCAAATCATCCGACGTGACTTTCACTGTAGGCGTAATGTTTTCCACTCGAGGTAAGACTAATGCAACGCATTGCATCTCGAAGCTGGACTTAAGAGAGCGTATTGTGAAGTTAACCATACCATTGGAAGTAGCAATTTTATCACCACTGGAACCATTGATTTGCACTTTTACTTTAGATTTTACCAGATTGAGAATATTCACAGCGGACGCACTTATGAATGTCGCCTCCGATGCTCTATCGAGAAAGCAGCGGAGTATAGCCTTGTGCCCTTGGTGAGAACGCACCTCGACTACAGCGGTTCCTATCAACACATGAGACGCGACCCATGTTGGCTTTGCTTTGTTGCACAATTCGCTGACAAATTAGGTATCGAGTTGTTATTGGGTGGCACAAAGAAGTCATGCAGCATCGTGTGATGTTTCGCATTGCAATTGTTGTATCGACGATCAGATGGGCATGCAGTCTGCTGATGATTACTGCGAAGACAATTTAAGCACAACTTTGCTTGCAGAGTATATTTGTGACGCTCGAGAGGTGTTTTCTTGCGAAAGTTTTCGCGGAACATGGTGAAATGTTTGCCAAAACAGAGAAGACAACGTTCGGAAGATGCGTAATTCCCTGAAACACCATGCGCGGCGTTCGATCTTTTATGAACACTCTTTCTTTTGCGGCTTCGTCTCAGTGACAGTTCTGCTCATGAGGAACTCTTGCAGCTCCTTAAAGGTCGGAATAGTGTCGTTTGATTTAAGGGAAAGCTCCCATGCCTTACGAGTTGTAGGATCCAACTTATTACTAATCGTGAAAACTAGCCAGTCATCCCATAGCTATACCGGACGTCCAAGTTGTTGAAGTGCACGTATAGACGACGTATCACCATCGAGTAGAGCCCTCAGCTTGGGGGCCGACTCACTCTGAGCAGAAGCCAACGTAGTTATAGCAGTAAGATGGGCGTTAATAATCACACGCTTATTTTAGTAGTTTGCTTGAAGCAGCTCCCCTTATTCTAGAACCCGAATTTTCATAATTCGTAATTCGTAGCTACGCTACGAAAAACGAAAAATCCTCATGCTGCAACCCTTTCGGAAACATGTGCAGCATTGCCAGCTATCAGTTGTTTTTCGAAGATAGCCGAATGAAGGAAAACAAAGGGGAAAGAAATTAAAAAAAACACTCATCATGTGCTTGTTTATTGTAAAATTGGTTAATTTTACATATTTTGAGGAAAATTATGGATTCTGATGTATTTGCAATTATAGCAGCAGAGTAAGCGGGCGCTATGGCAATGGATTCACAAAGGTATGCGGAGCTGTCGGGCATAGTAACCATGCGCGCATGTATGTCAGCTTCTGGTTGAATTGTTGAACCACAAGCCAGAACTCCTTCTATGCCTGAAGAACTGGTTCCCAATCCAGTTAATGCAATAACAGCGTCTTCCAAGCCATTGAAAACATGCACTTCGGGCGCGCTTAGGGATTATAACCCTTATTAAGTAGAATTCTCCTTTCTGTGTTGCGGAGAAGAGGGGCTTCCGCATGTCAAAGGTATACAACATTTCTTGTGCATATCACTCCGGCTACGCCGTCGAAATTTGCAAAAAAGGGCATAGTGCAAACCGAGTTATTAATAAGCTAGTGGTAGGAAATTTGAAACATTTATCTTAAATAAAATGTGAGTCCTTTGATTACACGTGTATGTTAAAGTTTTTGGATTCGGGTTATGCGTTTGGACACAACAACCGAATTTCGGTGTACACATAACTAAACCCAAGTTTCTCGATAAGGGGCAACGAAGATTCTTTTTTGCTCGTTTATATAAAGCAGTGGATAAAAATATACGTATATACGAACACCACCAATATTTCTTGCAAACACACATCGACTTACATCTTTTATTTCGCCCCCGACACAGAATTGTTTTCGTACAAAATTACGCAAAAAAGCTTACTCGTTCGTTTTTAGGCATGCAATTGTTACGAATTTCGAAAGTTCGAAAATACGATTCGGATTGCAGTATACTATTTCAAAGATTCGTAGCAAAATCCGAATACGAAAGAGTTGCAGAATAGGGGTGTAAAATTACCATCGGGGTAGTGGTAATATTATCTTAAGCGTTTTGTGCCTCTCCTGTTAGGCTGTCTTTCAAATATTGAAGACGTTGCGTATTAGTAAAAGTGATATTTTTTGTGACGATAGAATTGAAAAGATCCTTAAATGGAAACCAGTGATGAAAATCGCCATCAAATGGAGGAATTTTTATACGGGGTAATGACTGAGAAGCATGATTTCCTTGGCACTGTGACGACGATGACTCAGCAGGCGTGGCTGAGCTATTTAGAAGATCCTGAATCTCGCCCTTTGTTTCTTCGTATGTACATTCCACCGTTTCATAATCCTCTATAGAAATAGATTCTACCGCTTTTTCTTCCTCACTGCTTTTACTAGACACCTGATTGTAAAGGTCCAGGAACTTATTCCAATATTGATCAAGCAGAGTTTTACGAGTCTGGAAGAACCCTGATGTTTGCTTGCTTTTCGCTGTTTTGCGGGTGTTTGTGCTGAAGTTAAGGATCGCTATCTTAACCGACATAAGCTGCCTATATTTCTGCTCCATTATAGTACTACGCAATAAGTACACTTTTTAACCTTTTATACAACCTCGTGTTGATTGCCAGGTTATGTTACTCAGGGTGATGGAGTCTATTGCGCCCTTTTACCGCTGCTGATATTAAAGTATATTTTGTTCTTCGTTCCCGGCAAGGGAAGCCACAAATGTAGCAAATATCTTCACTAATAATAAGTCAACTACGTAACTAATTGCTTCCAATTAATCTTTATTCAAACCCAAAAAGCAAAAACGACAGTGCGTTTTTTTACAGCGAACAACAGCACCAAAAGCAAAAGTCAAAAGTTAGAGAGTACAAAAAGGAGAGTGAAGAACCATCAGAGTTGCAATTTGAAGGAGTTAGTGGAAACAGTCCCTAATAAGCAGTGATTGGCGCCCTAATTACCCTTCGAATTACGTAATTCGCCATACAAAATTTTGAGTGCGAATTGCCTCACTTGTACTTTAGTACTACAGAATGCAAGTATCAAGTCGCTCAGAATTACCGTTGATTATTGAGAATTTTTCTTGTGGAGGTTGTTCAGCATTTTCTTCCATATAAAAACAAAATTATTTTTGTAACTCTTGGCGACTTGAAAGTTGCACTTTGTTGTATTAAAATAAAAAATATTTAATATTTCAATATTAAAATATTTAATGACTTTTATTATGAAATATTTTGATACTTATTATTCCATTCTAATTCTATTCACATTTCAATTAATTTCACTTCATATTTAATTTGCACATATAAATTACATAACTCAATTCAGTAAAATTCAGTAAAAAACTTATGAAAATATGACACTAGAAAGCGAAGAAAAAGTAAGACAAATGTAGTGTAACTGAAAGTCGACCATGCTTAACGTTTATAATTATTTAATTTATTCATAACAACAAGGGTTTCATATTTCAGTTGTTTGAGTATTTTGAATATAGAACTCACGCATTGTCAGGCACACGTGCCAAACCGTCAAACAAACTAACTTTAAGCTTCAATTTATTTATAATATTATTTATGCTTATGCAGCAATTATTTCCCATAAATACCCCAATATGTTAGGCTAAGAATTCAATTGTAAAAGAACCTACAAAACGACATTGAGTTGCTCAGTAAAATAAATTCAATACAATTAAAACATAAATGAATTGTTTCATTCGATACACAAATTCTTAAATACGTTGGTAATTATTATTCAGTCCTACATCTTTTTCATATTTTTTAATTCGTTCCTCGCTTTTTAATTTCATCTTTTCAATTTGCAGTCTTTCATCTTGTTGCATTTGCAATTCAATCATTCTTATTTTTAATTGGTTTTGCAGCTCAACTTTTTTAATTCAACTAAATTTTTCTCTCTGTCCTTTTCTAAATTTAGCTTTTCAACTTCTGCCTCTTATTTCTGTTTTGGATATCAACCAAATTAGCAAACGGATTTGTAGAAGTTTGCTTTGCTTGTTTTAGTTTCTTCCGCTTTTGACTGAAATCAAGAGCGCTTTGCGATGTTGAAGGAGAAGGGCTAGTATGAGATTTTTCTGGTATAGGCGTACTAGGACGAGTTCTCCCTGGGCTTTCTACGTGGCAGTCTTCTAAAAACTCTAAATCAATGTATTCACTGCTATCACTAGTGGCTAGCGCATTTACGTCACTAGTACTTTCGTAAATGACATCAGGGCAAAAACTTTTTCGCTGCCCAAAAATGTCTGCGAGCATTGTTGAGCGAATTGGGAACTCAATTTATTGATGTGTGACGACACACTAGATCCCTCGCCACTGGCCAGCAGCCCAGAACCGGTACTCGATTTCCATTCGGCCGCAGAAACATAGCACCGCTTAAGGTATTTTATCTTGCATTTAAAGGAAACCAATTCTATTCCTCGAAGCGTCGGGATATTTTCTCTAATTTTCCTGTAGAAGTTCTCCGCGATCGGTTTCTGTAAAATTGAAACAAATATTAGTAAATGTTATTATTACATTTAATACAGCATTTGCCTCAAACGACTCAGGCCGTTCTTTGACCGCATCGGAAACCGCTTGGAGGAATGTGAGTACTTCAGGATCGGTCCATCGATGCGAAGGATTTATCCTGTTGTTGTTGTTGTTGTAGCGGCTGCAACAACCCCTCCCAGATCGGTTAATATCTCAGTCGTTGTCGTCAAGCTCCACTAACGGAAACCCTCAGAAGCGTGCAGCCTCAATGGGGTCGGTCCACAAGGACAAAGGCGTTAGGGTTCTCGGGTTTTCCGGGCGTACGAAGAGATGTTTCGAGTCACGGGGTGTCTCTCCGCATGCCGGACACTCATTTGGTACATCTGCGTCTAATCTTCTCAGGTATGAGTTTAACATGCTGCAGTAGCCAGAGCGAAGTTGGGTTATTGTGGTTGTAGTCTTCCGAGGCAGATTAAGCTCCGTCTCGTCAATGTCCGAAGCCCGTACGCCTAGAACGGCATTCACAGGTCTGAAGGTTGTTTAATGAACCTCTGGACTTCGTCCGTCAGTTCGCAGAGGTGCCTCCTGACGTGCCTGGCCGAAGGCTCTTCTGCAAGCAGTTGTCTATTTGGGTGACCACGTCTATGGCTCCCAATTAGAAACTGCTTGCAGAGCATTGTGTTATGCTCATTTATTGGGAGCATATTCGCCTCGTCGTGCAGGTGGTGTTCTGGTGACATCAGAAGGCATCCAGTTGCTGTCCGTAGTGCGGTGTTTTGGGTAGTCCGCAACTCCATCC